TTTCGGGTCTGAAGAGTTGGAAAAGAGGATGAGATATCTTCTGTGGAAGGCAGGACTTTCATGAACCTCCAGAGTTGACAGGGGATGAAACACATCTCTGTCCTAGAGGAGACTTTCTCAGGGAATGGACATTTGATCGTTGTCAAAAGTACGTCACGAGTCGGGGATGCAGACTTTTAAGAACCTTTCTTTAAATGGAGACGTCATCCAGAGTGCCAAACCCACCCTGCTGTTATAATAAGGAGGCCGTGTTTTAGATGACAGGATAATAAGGGATTGAAATTAGTCAGCACTACTTCTGTTCATCACATATTCAGACCTATAATTACAGAACTATACTTGCTAAAAGCAGGTTCTAATTTCCTTATGGATCACGTGGAGATAATAGATCCACTTTCAAATAACTACAGGTGGTGGAGTCCTGCTTTCACATCATTAATGTGACAATCAGCATGACAACCAGGTCAGCCGAGCCTGTGACTACACCTTCATATCCACCTCGAAACCAGTGGCTTCTGCAGACCAATCCAAAGTTAACAGGCTGCCATTACTGGGACAGCACCATTGAAACGTGTGCACGTTTAAATGCCAGCTGTTCTGAGAGGTGATTAATTTTCTACTTTAACCTTTTATGTCCACATTACTTTCAGCGAACTTTACTTCCAGTAACAATGAAGGAGGCGAAAGGAGGAAGAACCTGTGGAGTTACAGCTTCTCTCTAACCGGCAATTTCCACCGTATCCGGAATGGCTAAGAAAAGACCGCCAATCGTAGCTGATCGTAGCCATTCAAGTTAATGTGTCAATTTCCACTGGCTTCTTTCCGTTTCACTGCGGATCACCGGACTCTACAGCTGATCAAAGAGTTCTTTTTTTTCGGACGCCAGAGCATGCCAGATAACAAAATATGCACAGACACAAAATAAAACATCCGGCTTCTTTTCAAAATAAAACTCCATGTTTCAGGTGGATCATATTTCACACCATGCAAACGGGCAAGGACGTACAAGTGAAAGGTTTATAGACGTCATTTCACCCCGATGACACCATGGGTGCTGATTTTAGAAGTCTAGAAGTGAATTTCCTCCTCTGGAAGGACACAATCTACAGCTTATATGGTTAGCCTATGTGACTAAAGACAACTTGTTATCGTGCGGCAATTTAAACTTGTGTTACTGTATTTTACCCAGAAGATGGCGCCTCAAGAAGCCATCTAGTTCATGCAAGCGATACAAGCGAGTTCTTGCGACTCCTGCTGTCAGTAATCTGCCAGGAAATTTGCCTCACAAACAGACCCGGTAGGAAGTGGCGTATGGTGAAAATTGCCGCCATTCCGGATCCGAGCCGTTACGGATGTGTCGGAAATCCCGGGTAAGTTGACAAACTTATACTTGTTCGTTTTTGCACAGCACAAACGCCTTTACTTCCTCAAGAGTCTGTTTGTCTAACAGCTCCCTGAATGACTTGCCTTTGGTTGTTGAGTGCTGTGCATGAGCCCACAAACATAAACACATTTATCGAGCGGCTCATTTTGTAGCTCACAGACAGGTTGTGTAAGTGTAGTTCACTATGGATTAGGGCTGTCAAGATATCTGATTTTCACCTCATGATTATCCTGACCTTCTTCACCGAAAGTGATCAGTACGAGGCTGAAACCTTGAAATCCATGTTAAGGGATGACTAGATGTTGCGATGCTTTGAACCTGTGTATCAAGGCCCTGTACTTAAATACTGCTCAGAATCGAGGACTGAGAAATGCAACAGCAAACAGGGGATCATAATGTCAACAAATGGGATTTTTCTGAGTTCAACAGCATCTGCTATCTCTCTTAACTCTCTGCTGTGACCTGACCTCTGATCCGCAGACTGAATGATGGTGCTCCTTTGACTTTGGCCTCAATAGCTGTACGATGGTCGATTACTTTGACCTGAAGGGCTGCTCCTCCTGAGTACACGTTCAGACGCACAAAGAGGGTCCAAAGATTTTCGAATTTGGTTTTCTGTCTGCCGCTTTTTCTGTCACTGTGTGGTTAAATACATAAAAAAAATACTTACCTCGAGTTCAAGAAATGTCTTTTCAGCTTTAAAATAATCAAACTTTTCTATCTCCTATCAAAAGTTTTTATAGAGTATCTATAAGCTCTTGAGAGGTCAGACAGGTGACCCTGATGCTGCAGTCTTTGAGAAACCAAACCAGACTGTTTTTGTCTAAAATCCACAACCCCTTCGTTTTCCAGCACGCCAACCGAGTGGTAGAAAAGAGGCAATTAAACTCCTGTGTCAGTCACTCATTTATATTCTGCTGGAAAAATAGACAAAAGGAAATCATCAGAGACAAAAGTACAGAAGCAGAGAAGAGCAGAAGATGAATTTATCGCATGTAAATCTGCTGCTATCTCCTGAAAACAAACAGGCGGATTCCTCTGGACAAAGACATGGTTTATTTTGAGAAAATGGCTTGTTTTCTAAAGATCACGGGATAACAAAGAATTCAAATGAGTGCCTGTTTTGTGTGCCGCCACCTGATTTCAGGATTCATATCTGCACAGTCTGATGTTGATGGAAGTACACTGATGCATTGATAAACAGAGTGGCCTCCTTGATTTGACATTTTCAGCTTAAATTAGTTTCTGCAGTTGTCAAGACGCCATCCTGCACATGCTGGAGTGACACTCTGATCTCTGATAAACATAAGCTGAAGGAGGAAACAACCTTTTCTTCTCCTATGAGATAACAAAATAATTAACTTGTGATGCAGAGATAGCAGTATCAAAAAGGAAAATGCAAGCAAAGTCGGACTTCCGTACTTGAATGATCTCGCTCTCTTTGTATTCTGGATCAAATATGAGAAGATCGAATCACATAATATTTTATCATTGAAGTGTGTTTGTTTGCATATAGAGTGCACGTAAAATATAGAATCTAAACTTCAACATACTCATATATTAGACTCTGGTTAGCCAAAATTAGCAGTGATTCATTCTCAAGAGTAAAAGCAACACCAGGTTCAGCCTAATCACAAACGTCACGTTAAGGATTCTGGCAGATTTCTACTCTGCCTGTTGACACTGTGGCGAAAATGTTACTTAATCTGTAGGTTTGATGACATGAAGGATATTTATCAATAATTATGGGCGAGATGTAAGTGAGATATCTGGGTTCAGAGCATTTTTTCCTCCAAGAGAACCACAAACTTAACTCAAGTCCACTGAATGATCCTGGAGTTTATCTTTAATAATGAAGACACTTTTACTGATTGCAGGAAAAATAAGTTAATAACTTGCTATAATGTTTAACTCACGTTTACAATCATTCAGCGACTACTTAACCTCAATATAGTTTAAAGTTCCAAACAGGCTGAGCACAAGCTTAAATATTCAGTCGCCTTAGACCAAAGACTGTTTAAACTACGGTGGGAGAGTCGTCGAGAGTCACTGTGATGATGCTCGGCTCAACCAGCGTATCCCTCGGGTTAGCTACACAATCTTCGTCCGCCCATAGGCTGTATCAAGTGTCAATCATAGAAAACATGAACCCCCGAATAACTTTATAAAATGGAGCTTCACAGAAAAAAAAGGACTTGAGCACAAACCAGTCTTACTGTAACTACAAGTCAACATCACAAGCATGGGGGAGAAAAAAATTATATACTAAGTGATAAATTTTAAAAGTTTTTCCACAGCTCCATGAGGATGGCTGGAGGAGGCGGGATTTATGACCTATACTGCAGTCTGTCACCAGAGGGTGCTGTTCTCAGGGTGGCCACACCCAGCGAGGAGGCACATGGTGTCCATTCTATATACAGTTCTTGCCTTAGACATGCTATAAGTTTATACTTATTAACTCTCGTTACTAATAAAAATTTGTGTTTTATGCATGATTCAAGGTTTAACCTGGAAGAATCACATCCCTGATTTATAGATTTTTTTTTTTTAAATCAGCAAAAATGTACTTCAATCATGTTTTGTGTCAAACTATTTGTCATTATAAGTGACTGTAAAACAAGCAAGAAAAAGCAGAAGGTCGATCTATGAATCAAAATCATGATAATGTCTCACCCTTGTCATCAGTCATTCGATCCACATTCAAATATTGCCACATTATTCAACACAAGATGAGATGTAAGCATGTAAATCAGTCCTGTTATACACTTGTGGGTGGTACAGTCCAAGCAGTGTGCACCACAGCTGTGCTGTGAAGGGAGCTCAGCAAGAAGATGAAGAAATCAAGAAAGATCTCAGCAGATATCTTTGTAAGAGGCAAGTTATTGGGGATTTTCCCCAGGTCTTTTGAGCGCATGCGGCTATTGAGCCGAGTTTATCCCCCTATCTGCACTGTCCATCAATTCTTGATTAGAAAGAGAGACCTCTCTGAAAACAGGAACTCAAGTCTACATCTCTCAAAGAGAGCGACTCTAACCCTTTAGATACTTTGAGGGAAAAAAACAAGAACTGAGACATTGTTGAGCTTTAAAAGTGACACTTGGATTGGTGGAGCGATAAGACAAGTGCTGATTTGTGACCAAACAAGAAACAAGAGGAAATTAAGGCGCCACAGAAAAAGTGTCATTTTCTGATGTAGCAAAGAACGTAGACGTCTGTCCGCTAATCCAAAGGTCAGCTGTTCATTACCCCGCTCCTCCAGCCTATTCGCCCTTGGGCAAAAGACTGAAACCCCAAATTAATCTGGGCTCTGTGTGTGAATGAGTATGAATGTGTGCGTTAATGGGATGAATTGGCACATCTGCGAATTCAGAAGACAGAAGAGTCATTTTAAAACTTCACTCTACGAGATAAAACTTCCAAATGAGGATTTCTTGACATAGAAATGTCCAGTTACAGGAAAAAAAAAAAACTCCCAATTAAATTCTGACTTTGAGATGAGAGTTATTGAACACTTGGGTTGAAGTTTTTAACACTCAAACAGAGTCCAACTGATTTCTAAGACTGATTGCATATAGGAAATTGGAATCTTTGTATCAGGAAGGAAAGAAATGGCGGACAACTTACAGATTCAAAATTTATTCTTTTATTTAATACATACATAATATTCAGGATGTACAACAGAAGACGACTGAATCGGTGACAGACGAGTGGTTCCGGTTCACTCAGAGTAAATCAGCCTGTGGTGAAGGGTTTGAGTGGACTCACTTCAGCCAGATGTGTTTATCTCCAACATCTTCATTATAACCAGGAGCGTACCTCTTCCCAGGGAGCTGAAAAAGACGATCAGATCATTGATAAAAGACCTAAACCGATCATACAAAACAATCACCTCTAAACAACAACTTCGGCTCTTTTAAAAACAACAAAATTGTTAATCATGAATTTCTGGGCAGTGGTCTTGCGGTGATATTCCTCCCTGTCCCTTCTGTCTCTCACCGCCATAGATTTATTTCGCCTTCACTTTGATGCCCTTGCAGGACACCCTGAGACGCCGAGGCCACATACTGCGTGTCCACTCGCATATTTGGAGCTCCAGCTCATTCTTCCTTTATCCTCCTGCCTCCAGGTAGCCCGGCCTTTTGGACAGCAATCTTTTTGTTGTCATGCTCAGAGAGGAGCCAAAGATCAGATGAAATTTTTCCACCATCCACTGATTCTTTTTTGGACCCGAGCAAATAATATCTTATCTCGCTGCTTCTCCAGAGTTCTCCTCAGCAAACTTGATGACTGACAGCTTGAGTTTGAGATTTTTTCCTTTTTACTTGGTGCAGCCGTGTTATCAGCAAATGGGTGATGTAAGATGATGTAGATCTGGCCTCAATTTGACAGCAGTGTACAATAACAATATCTAAGGCCATATTTTGGACTGTAATAAATGCATATTCAGAATTTCTCCGTTTTTTGGGGGCATTTTAGCCCCAATTTAAAGCTTCTGTAAGGAAATTTCAACAGTCAACAAGTTTTTAGCCAAAATCATGTTACCTGTATCATTTTTAAGCACTTTTCTTCTGCAGAGCTCCAGTAGCTCATTAGCAATTCACCTCTGAGTCGTGGGCGGAATCAGCGCTGCTCTTCACACTCCTCTTCAAGCTAGCTTGCAGCCTAGCTATTCAGCTCTTGGATGCTAATGTCTTTAGGGGCGTGATAAAAGCTAATATCATGATTAGCTTTCTTACGACTGTTGCAAACTGCTAACGCACACGCTTGTTCCGCGATCGTCCTCTTTATTTCTCCGAGCCTGGCTTGCATAGCAGGGCTCCGGGGGGCGGAGCTTGGATTTGTGACATAGGAAATCTCACTTTATCTGATCCTGCCGTTTGGGTCTGCCAGAGATTCACAGTGATTTGAATGAAGAAATACTAAAAAAAAAAATTTTGCACTTATTTTTCTCATGATATGTCCTGCAGCATCAGAAAAATTCAGTATGAACATGTAGACCATAAGAAAAATAGGATTTTCATAGGGGTGTGTCTTTAAGTCGTATTTTCTGACATAAATCTCATCTGGCTGACTTTTCACAGATATTCGAATCATATATTGTGGAAATCTTATGTGGAAAATGTAAAAACAAGGTTGTCATAAAAAGGCAAACTCCTCACAGGAGTTTTAACAAGACAGCCGAGGAGAGATCAGGGAAATAAAGGAGAAGAGAGCGCGGGAAGACATGCAGCAAGCGGCTGTGGCTGGAGGTCAAACGAGGACTACTGTCTCCACATGAGGCGCATGTGCTGAAGCCACCAGACTGCAGATATTTTCTCCACTTTTACTTGCTTGTCACTGCTCGCTGAAGGACACCTTTAGTTTCATCTCCATTCTGTTTTAATAAAAAAGCATATCAGGAGCTGCAATAATATCAGCCTTGCAAATGTCCTTCCATGACTTTACTCCGTTAACTTCCCCGTGCTTGTTGGAGATTACTCCACCGCTTGCCTCGGCTCCCGTTCCCTCCACTGAGATCCGGGCTCAGAGCTAAATGTCAGGTCTCAGCCTCCTGTAGCATTACACAGCCGGAATTTCGCATTGAGGGAAGACAAAAAAAAAGTCTCCAGTCAATAAACAGAAAAGGTCAGACCTGAATGTTTCCTCTGCAAGACTGACGGCACAGAAAGCCTCCAAGAATATTCCACATCTCTAAATTCTTGTAAGTACCAGTCGCCTGATATGAGATCTGAAATAAATTAGTTCTGTCATGCTGACAGAGCCGCACAGGCTTTACATGGGAAACGGGTGGAGAAATGAAAACAGCTAATAGAGCAGTGAGGATTTTCAGATTTGAAGGATTCCTCGGAAACATGTTTCAGGTTTCAATAAAAATGAAAGACCCTCAAATAAAAACTCTACATCAAATTAAAGCGTAGATCATCCTCTGTGAACTTCACCAAGAACAACAGAACTTATCAAAGTCACTACTCGACAAAGAAAACTGCGTCTCATGAAGAAATGAACCCAGAATTTGGCACATCAAGCTTCTTCTACCTCATTGACACTGACCGTGTGGACATGCTAAGTTCTGCTCAGTTAGGTTCAGGGCTTTATTGCCCCTCTATGGAAATATATACAGGGTTCCTACGCAAGTATTTATTTATTTAACCAGGTTTGTCCCATTGAGATCTGAGGATCTCATTTGCAAGGGAGACCTGACCAAGAATGGCAGCAATACACAGTTACAACAAACGGTCACACAGACTCAATCCAGAACAATATATGTGAGGAAACATCAGTTAAAACAGAGACACTCTGAGAGTTTGTACTCCAGCCTTTTAACTGCAGATTTAAAAACAGTCAAGTATGAAAAGTATGAAAATAAAACCAATCAATTTCTAGGTCTAAAAAAGTATAAAAAATGAAAAAAAAGTATGGAAAAATATGTGTTTCCAGGCTATTACCACTGCTCTAAAATACTGTCTTCTAAAATTTTTCAACAATGATTCTAAAAAGTAGGGTACGGAAAAGTATGGAAATTCCAACTGTGTAGGAGCCCTGTAACTGTTAAAAACTCACAATAAGAAAAAACACAATCTGGAGGAAGAAAGAGCATCACTAAAAATCATTTTAAAGTGACTGTACGGAGGTGATCGTGGTCAGTGGGACTGATGATGATAAAACAGCGCAGCCAAGAGATGTCAAAGTTAGTTGCACATAAAACAAAAACTGTTTAGGTTTTGGTTCTCGCTCTGTGGAGACAATTTTTTCTCGAGAAGATCAAGTAGACAGGAAACTGGACACTGTGAGTCTGAAATATGTTTCTGCTCAGTTCTCTTGCTGCAGCAGTTTGAGCCTCGCTCCATCTCACTCCAAGACCGTGGAGGTAATTTTTAAGAGCCTGTTCTGCACGTCCAGCACCTTTAAACACCTGTACTCTTCTTTATGTTCTCAACCTTTTCAATAGTGTCAGTTACAACCATTATGTTTCTGTGGAGAATAAAGCTAAAAGATTTCAAGGGAAAAAAGCTCATTACTGAGTCCTCATTTAGATGCTGCCCCCTACTGTCAATCAGTGTTATAGCACGGATGTACTTTGACCAAAGTAACAGCTTTACTCCATAAAACAAGGGGAACTGGTTTGACATCTGTTTAGTGGCACTATTATTAGGAGGGGGGAAAGGATATTTTGTTATATTGTACCATATTTTCATGTTTTAGCCTGAAAACTTCAAAAGCAATTAGGTCACCCTCTAAAAATGGGGATAAATGATGCTCTAAATTTAGTCTAGGGCAGAAACAATGTTTGAAAGTGAGAAACTTTAGATTGAAGGTCATCCAAGTGTTCATCTTGGCCACCCTGCCCAAATAAAGAGGACAGAAACTTCATATTTCTTCAACATTAATATCTCTCTCTCTCTTTCTCTGTCCTGTGATCACACTAAACATTCATCCTCACGGACACGGGGAGCACCAAAGAGCACTACAGGATGATCGACGTCTGGAGTACAGCCCTGTCCTTCTGTTGTTTTGCTATAAAAGCCGAGCTGAATTGCTGGTGAGGGTGAAAAAAAGAGCTCTCAGGATCCTCTCTATCACCACAACTCTCGCTTTCTCTGCGCAGGAGGGAACAGGTATCTATCCAGATTATAAATAACAGAAACCACACACATATATATACACAAACACAGAGCAGCCACTTGTTATCGTGCCCCTAAAAAGAAAAGAGCAGACAAAACAAAAGTGCTTCAGAGCAGCAACACTTTTAAACACGCACAGTGCAGACAAATCTGCTGAAAGCAGCAACTCTGCCTTCAGAAGTCGGATTGAATGAAACTAAAGATGTACCGCTCCGGTATTAGTGGGCTGTTCTGCTCGCAGGTTTGTTTTCTGAAAGCAGGGATCTTGACTGAACTTTAAAAGCACTTTCGATCATGAAAACATGGGCTCATATATTAACACTTCTTTATTTTCTGATGTGTATTCATGTTTTGACAAATAGTCCCATTTGAAATGTTCCTTTACAGACATGAAGCCCAAAACTTGGGGAATCTAAGGTGGTACCAGATGATTTATTTAGTCCTATCTATCTCTTTTTGGATAATCCCCATGAAATCACTTCATCAACCAAGTAAAGCACAATATAAGCTGTAAGGCACGTGAACATGTTGTTTTCCCAGCTGTAACTGTTTGGAGGAGTCTTTATGTTTTGCTCAAACAGATGTGTCAAAGGTAACACAACGATTGCATTAAACTAATGCTACGATATTTCACTGACTCACTTCTTTTGCTGCATATTTACTCATCCGCGTAGTCTGTTTGTCCCTCTTTGTCAGGCAAAAAGCAAATATGTTTCCAAACTGCTGAAGATGAGTTTGGAAATTGAAACGCTGTAGAAACGGAGGGTAACAGATGGAAAGGATAATGAATCCCTATAATCTTGTATGGGTTTCAATCGTGATTTTCTGTTTGTATAACACCATGAGAGCGTAAAAAAGAAAATCAAGGCCATTATACTCTGAGATTTCCGACTACGGCTGGGTAATGAGTCAATTTTAACGATTGATTTGTGGTTCGGGGTAAAATCTGGATTTCTCTTCAGCTTTCCCTGAAGCTCACACCCTCACCTCTCTTTCACATCCGAGCTGCCGCAGTCTGCTGCAGAGTTTGTTTGAGGGCTGTAGTACAACCCGTTTAAACAGAGGTATACAGCTCAGTTGAAAAAATGAGCCTTACTAGACTTTTACAGCCCGCTTACATTTCTTTTGCATTTGTAGTTTTCTTCCCAGAAATAGAAAAATGATTGTAACCATTCCTCTGATCATCAGCTTCCTATTATGAAATCTGTGACTTTCGCTGAGACGTCTGTGTTTACACTCATTTAGACAGGAGAATTTCTACATACCGCTCTGTAGGCATAGTATGTCTCATCGTACTCGTGGGCCCCGATGGTTGTCTCTGGCAGGAACTTGGGTATGTGGGTGAGGCCGGCAACTCTCTGCTTGTTTTGCACACTGTGATTTAAAGAAGAAAAGGCAGGGAAAGAGCTTAACGACAGGTGTTTAAAGCCCACATAATAGAAGCTGATTTCAAATGAGAGCCTGGCGTTAAAAAAGGCAATCAGAACAAATGTGAATTCTGACTCCTCTGCATATTTATCCATAATGAGGGTGCGAAATGTTGGTGAGAATCTCGCTTCACCGTCAGGAGATTTTCCTCTGTGAAATCTGCATTTCAATGCGAGCTGTACCGCTCTAATTAAGGACTCACAGCATCCTCATGTGGTGGTAGGTGACGTCATCCTGCTCCAGCCAAGGTCCTTTATCAAACTTCAAATACTCAATGTCCTCTGCCACCTGTGGACCAAACACTGTTAATAATCTGCACACGGACATCAAACTCTCAATCCCTGTGTGGATCTAAGGTGTCAGAAATGTAATCCAACACCGTCTTCACGCAGCTGACGCCTCCTCTTACCCTTTCAAAATCCTGGGCTTGGGTTGCATCGTAAGCAAGCACCTCTGTTTCCGCGCTGAAAGGAAAAACGCAAAAACACTCGAGGTTTGTTCACAATCTTTTTGAAGATTTGATGTAACTGTCACTGAAATGTTGTCAGATCTCTGATACTTTTGTGAAAAGTTGAAATACTCACCCGATCTGGGGCAGGAAAGACTTTTTGTAGGATTCCTCGATGCCCTTCAGATATGACAGGGGAACATTGTGCAGGTACGGCTGAGGAAACAGATATTTTATTAGAATATTTTATAAGGAAGCTCCCACAGTTTGATAAGCTCACTTTATCCAATCCTTTAAATATTCAGATTTTGGGCCACATCCTCTGAGGTGTCTTCTGCTCATTTTTCACAGCTTAAAACAGATTAAACCTCATGATTCATTATCTGCAGAGACAGTAGTAGAGTAGAAACTCTTCTACCTTGCTGCTCTGTTTCAGCCTCTTCTGCACCTCCTCAGCCGGTATGTCGACGTAGATGGCGAGGTGTGGAGGGAGGAACTCACAGATGCTGATGCCTTTGATCTCATTGTAGTGGTCCACACCTGCGAGACACAGAGCGACAATTTAAAGAAACGTGTGGGACACAATTTGTTTTCACATTACCAGGGTTGTTCACAGACATGCAAGTCAACCCTGTTGGAAAGGGTGGAGGAGGGTTGGAGTGTCAAATAGATGCTGCAGGGGGTCACAGTGTAATCTTTCACAATCTTTACTAAGATGAAAACTAAACATTTAACTTCTAATTTAATTTTAAAACCTGGATTTGATTGTAGGTACGCGTCAAAGTTTATGAATGAACTTACTCTTACTTCTTACTCTTTTAAATTACTTAATCTCTATACGGTTGCTTTGATATTTTTATCTCCGTTAGTCATACCAAAAAAACTTCTAATACTTTGGGTGATGTAACGTTGAGCAGTATTTTGAAACGCATCATCGCCCTAAAATCTGTAATTTACCTCAATCTAAACAGGATTATGCAAAGTACTTTCTCCTGTGGCTGGATTGTGTCTGCCCTGCTGAATTTTACCGTTTATTTTACCATGTACGACTCCACAGACGAGGAAAGCTTCGGCTTTCTGTTGCCAGTTAAACTTTCTCATTTTAGCTGATGCTATAAAGGTGGATTTTAACAGGATGATGCAAATGATGTAGGGTTAAATCAAGACCATTTGCATACGTCTCTGCGCTAAAGAGATGCACCGAACACTCACACTCCTTCCTGATGTAGCCCTCTTTGAACATGGCGTCCACGAAGACCATGTCACTGAAGGGGGAACGCTCCAGGACCACTCCCTGCCCTTTAAAACAAAAATAAAAATCAAGAAGTTACTAATAAATCCTGTCCGATAATTATCTATTCGTGCAATCAAAGCTGAGGACTACAGGCGGCTCTGCACCTGTGGTGAGCAGGTGTTCGATGGCGTCAGCGTACTGAAGCAGCCTCATGATGTACATCCAGCTCTGTAGCCTGTAGCTGTTTCCATCTGTTGCTTTGGGGTCCAAGTAAAACTTCTCCAGGCTGCACATCCCGTTAAACGCAACAGGAAGCGGCTCCTTCTCCCCGGTCATCTTGTCAATGTAGAAGGTGTCAGGCTCAGGCATGTAGAGCATCCCTGAAGATACAGAGTCCCTCATTATTTCAACACAAACACTGTCGGTAAAGTGTTACAATATGAGCATTGCTATAATAGGTTAGTTACCTAGCCTCTCAGCCACCTTCTGAGCCAGCGCTCCTTTCCCACTGGCCAGGTTTCCGTCCACAGTGATGATTTTGCTGTTCTGGGAGAACCGAGGTGTGGTCCTCTCACCCAGAACGTACGCCAACCAGCCATACTGCAGGCTCCTCACTGAGCTTGTGTGAAGCCCTGCCTGGATGACCAAAAAAAAGCATTTTTTATAATCACTTTACGTTAGAGCATCTACTAGAACCATCATTAAGTCCTGTCAGAATCAAAAATACCTTAATAACTCCCAGGGGGATATTGCTTTTTGTTACAGCACTCCAGTGCAAATAAAGTAAAAAGAGGAGATAAATAATAGACAAATTAAGTAACAATAAAGAGATAATATACATATATAAGTATGTGCACTATATACAACACAAAGAGAGAATATTTGAGACTTCTAAATACAATTTCTCTTCAATCTTATACTTGTGTTTTTATTGTTTGACCTCAGTATTGTTTCTAATGTCTGGCTGGACATTAGAGGACTTAGACTTGTCTCGAAAACAAGAAATCAGTGTTTGGTTCTAAGCACACATAAAGCACTGATAGGATGCAATTAAGTGATAATTTTAGATGTTTTTTGTGAGGAAGGGGGGAAGATTTTAAGAAATGTGTCTTAGCAAATGTTTAAAATGTAAGTCGGTGGTCCATCACAAACAAAAAATAGCTTAAAGGGCACCAGTACCAGTTCTCAACAAGAACTGGTTCTCGATTCCCATCCCTAGTCAAGAAAGTAATCAAAATCTCCTTTGCATGTATAGTATGTTGTCACAGCCTAGTCTAGGTGTTCTGTTTCTTTTTATTTCAGTGAGTCTGGGTCTTTAGATATTGGTAAACCATATTTTTAAACACATGTTTACTTGTTCACCTTGTAATAACAGAAGGAAGACTATTCCATATTTTCATACCGCTGAACATGACAGTACGCTGTCCAGAGTTAGTATTGGTGAGTGGAAGTGTGAAATAACCAGTTGATGTTGAAATTATGACCATTACGACTGAACAGCAACTGATTAAAGAAAACATTTGACCTTCTATACACGATCATTAGTCTGGAGAAGGAAAGCAGAGACACAGAGGGGCTCAGGGTTTTATTTTGAAACCATAAACCCCCTCTCTAGAGTAATTCCCCCATAAACTCACTGCAGCTGATGTCAACATCTTATAGATTCTGCTTAAGTGAAACTAAAGGAGCATTACAACATGTACCTCCACCAACTATAGTTAAACATAAATATACTGAAACATAAACAGAGGCCTGAGTAAAGGGGGTTCATATTAAACTGGACTCATGTGGATTATTATTGCTTTTAGCAGCTAATGCTAACAGAGTTAGCTTGTCCTTGTACCGCTGACCCGACATTCAGGTCCAATTAAAGCTCCGCTCCTGTTTTTAGTCACTCCTTACCTTTTGAGAAACAGTCCCCGCTTTTAAAGCTGTCGCTCCCGATGGGATGACCAGCCGGATCACCCTGAGGGCCATGATCAGCTGTCCTCCAAATACCCTGCGATCTGACCCGAAATATCACCGACACTCGGCGACTGAAAATGACGTCAAACGGAGAAGGGCCTTCACTCACTTGCGTCTCACATTTAATACGTTCTTTACGTCTAGTCGGTGCCTGAATTTGTTCATCTGTTGATAAAAAAAAAATGCTGCGCCATTTAACACATCATGTTTCGGACTGCAGAGTCTGACATAAAAAGAAACATTACAATTGGTCATTATCAACCAGGAGTTTAAATAAAATTTAGTTTACTCACTTTTGTGCAGTGCTACGGTTACCGAGAACTGCCACTGCTGTAAATAAAAAAGAATGCAAAACAAAATAAATAAAGAAAGAAACCAAAGCCTGTTGCAAATAAAAAAAGAAAGAAAGAAATCGTGCAGTTAATAAAAAAAGCCAAAAAGGAAGTTAATGACACAAAAAAAGTGGCGATGAAAAAAGGAACATGCAAACAAAAAAAAAGCTCCAATGGAAGTGAGCTGCCGGGGACCAATGATGATGATGCACCAGTGTTTTACGATCCAGCCACAGAAGACAACGGTGAGAAGACGAGCAAGGAAGTGGAAAGGTTAAGTTAAGTTATATCTGTACTGAAACGGTAATCATCTCTGCACAGCTAGTCATGACTCCAGCGGGCAGTGAGTCAAAACGACCTCCAGCATTAGCTGTTGGTCATGGGTCCGACAGTCATGGGTTAAAACTCAAATAATTACCTTTAACTTTAAGTCAATTTCAAGATATGGTACCTACTTTTACTTGAATTGATAACAGACTGGTGGTTTTACTGGAACACATCAAAAAATGAATGAATGAATGAATCACAGTCATAAGTAGATATAAATAAATAAATAAATGAGACCATCTGTAATACTAAGTACTCTGTGAAGGCTGACAGGTATCAAAATAGTTCTCAATTCAGGACTTGAGCCATGTTTTTCCTGTGACTATGAGTTTTCACCAGCAGATGGCAGTGTAATTTAGTGTACAGTTAAATGAGTCTATTTTCTAATGCATGAGCGTTCACAAGAAAAGAAAAAAAGAAGGATGTTTTGACCAAGCATGTGGAAAAGAGGGATCCAAAACTAATCTAATTCCCTTTTCCCACATTCCCTGAAACGTGTGTGGTCTCAACATCTCAACAACCAAACTGAATGTGAAAAGGAGGCTGTTTTAATCTCCCTTTGTATAGCATTTGTATTTTCTTCTTCATATAGTCTTCTTCTTAGTCAAACAGCCTAACCTACAAACCTGGATAAATAAAGTGTCTTTGTGGTTTTCTGTTCAAAGGTGTGAGGAGCAGAGCTAAAACCACACTCCTTGAAGATCCTGTGAAACCTGAAGCAGCTTGATGTCAGTTTTGGTTTCTCATCAGATAGGAATTCACAAGTATGTCTGATTCAGCGTTAGATTATGTTTCAAGTGTTTGCGAGCGTCTCATTACTGATTGTAATTTACATAGCACAGGTCTAAACAATCCCCGAGACCTTCTAATGGCTTTGTGTCGCAGAAATGACTCAGCAACGTGACATGTGCGGTTTGAAACTCGTTTCTCAGATTTGACAAAGCACGCTGTTACTGTAACCCCTCAATTATATTTTTACATGTTCTCCTTAACTCTGGTTTTGCAATAAGAATCAAAACCTCACAAATATGTTATCTATGTGTGCTATCTCGTCTTTTCATACACTTGCACTCTCCCCTACAGCTACAGCTCACTCCACTCTCACCTGAGTTCTCAAGACTTTATATAACACCTCCGGCCTGTCAACAAACATGTGTGACTCACTTGCTGTTTGACTCTGTAGGCTAGGAAACCGATAATGTAAACAGTCAAATACAACACTCCATATTTCATTCAGTGTGAGTATGAGTGTTTCAGCTCCCTCTGCACGCTCAAGTCTGCTCACACAGTATGAACAAATAAACTCAGCTCAATTTAAAAAGGATGTTTGCAATATTTTAGATGGAAAGCAATAAAATTCTAAGTTGTGTATCATACTGGCCATCGAGGCTGAAGTTAGAGCCATGTCTGTAGCGCCTTTAATGAACCAGAATGCACTCAGCTTTGCTACAGAGCATGTTTTTCTCCTAGGTTATGGAAAAATGGCATCTGTGTTGGCCAAACTAATCCTCTTCTATTAGTGTATCTTTGATCATTTTTTTGGATGCCATTTCACTGTTCATACTATTGTTAAATAGCTGAATTATAATGCAAAACAGCCCCTCCAAACCGCCAGCTATGTCTGATGACAGCTATCATGAGAAGAACATTAACTAGATTTGTAGTTAAGAAGAGCCTCTACCATCCTGAATGTAGTTTGTTTGTTGTGTTAAACTCATACTAAAACAAAAAGACAACAATGAGCAAGCTGTTCCCCACTGCAGACTATATAGACAATAAAAGTAAATGGATGGCACAGCAGCTCTACTGAAGTAAAGCCAAAATATTGGCAGCCTATCTTCTCCTGTTGACTAGCTGCAATATATACATGCCATGAAGCCCTCTGTGTCAGTGTGATGTCAGGCTGTGCTGTCCTATCAGGATGATGCAAAAAGAAGAGCCCATCCTGCAGTACTGTCAAGGACTCACCTGGAAGTTGGAAAACCCATTACACTGTTTGTGTTCTCCACTTCACTGATGACTTATTTGCAACAAAGGCCGGTCCAAGCTGGATCTGTGTCTCAGCTGTTAATGAAACCTGGAGCTGTTTCATCTTTAAAGACCCTCCATGAATGCTCATAACCACAAGTTGTAAGTTAAATACTGTAACAACAGCTACAATTTGCTGACGTGGCCAAAAAGGAAGCTGACTCACTTGCTAACAGCTGGTGTCACAAGTTTTCTGCAAAGACAAAACTTTCGGTTTTGCTGTGTAAAAAACACTGCCAACAAGCTGTGTCTAACATATTAGTTTAAAAGCAACCAAAACAAAGTGTTCTAGGCAGAGTATCAGATAAATTAGCCACAATTTTTCTTTGAAAAAATGTCAAAAATGAAAGGATAAGAACAGAATAGCATAACCTTGAAAGAAACTTTAGCAGCTGGACAAAACTACTGGAGTTTAAAATGTACAATATTTGCTGATTTGTAGAGAAGATGTATGATAGCTGCACAGCTTAACATCTCTCATATTGGTGGGTTAGAAATGTACTTGATACCTATCTGTCAGATGAACCAGGAGATAAGGTCATGATGTAACTCTGCTTTATAAAACTCAAACTGGAAACATTTCTTATAAACTAAAGACTGCACTGTAATAATCTGAAAAATATCAGGTTTTTTTATACAGAATTCTTCTTTAAGAGGAATACTGGCAGCGTTTTTTATTTCTTTCCCTTAAATATCCACTTAAGCACAGTTAGGCTTTTTTTAAATGTTGTGTTCAGGAAACTCAAAGTGCTCTGTTTGAGCTTCTGGAAAGTCTGTGGTCATGGCTGGACACGAGTTGGGATTTGTTTTCTTTTCTTAATAATATTTAACTCAAACTGCAATCTTTTCCTAAAACTAACCAGCGTGTGTCCCCATTGACCCTGCACTTTGTAACGTCCACCCCGACCGCCTCCATGTGACTTCTATGTGACACGACAACAGTTTGTGGACTGGAAAAAGTGCAATGCTGACCAAACCCTCGCAGGAATTACGTGTCCTCCGTGATGTTGTTGAGCTAAACTGTTCACTGGTAAATAAACAAAGGTTTGGAGAGGCAGGGTGGCATGGGGTCATCCTGTTCATGAGGACTTAAAAAAAGAAGATGAAATACCCTGAGGAGAGTTCAGTGGATCAACATACAGAAAAACAAGTTTATATTTAGCTGAAAAATTGGAGGGTGAAAAATAATCAGATTCATCTTGTGAGAATTAAAAATAAAAAGGCAACAGAGCAACACAATACAATACAAGAATTTGATTTATCCCCAGAGGGAAATTCATTTGTCTGGAATCTCAAATAAACTGCAAATAAACCAAGTTGTAATCTGACCTGCCAAGTGGTGGTGAGGCAGTAACCTTCTTTGATGTCGGCATACAGCAGATCCAGCGTTTTGTTTTCTCTGGTAGGACAGTTAACAAACTGTGTAAATCCAGTCAGGTGAGAGGAGAGGGTGACATGGTTGAAGTTGCCTGATATTATGTGCCTCAGGATGTTGAGTCTGTATCCTAGCAACAGTTTCATTGAGAACATCACATGAAACTTCAGCCTTTGCCGTAAGTGGGATGTATACAAGAATTGTTATATGACTGGACTCCCTTGGAACAACACGACTTCTCCTTGACAGATATATGTGAAGAGTTACACCATCTCTCTTTAGCATCTCTGTCTGACTATATGAGAGTGAAGTCAGGTGGATTCACACTGGAGTCCGAGTTGTTTTGATTCAACCAGGTTTCTGTAAAACACAGGAGACTGCACTCAAAAGACACGTTACCGACAAAAAGATCATATACTCGCAGGCAGTTTGGGCAGGAATTGTGAGCAAGCTGTCCCCCAACAATAGGATACATGGATGAAAACAGAGCTGGATAGAGTATGTCTAAGAAGCTGAGTGCTCTGAAGGTCCTTAAACCATAAGAAATAGGTAATTTAGAATAAAGTTAGAACCACAAAAACATATGAAAAAGATAAATAGAAACAGGATTAAATCATTTTGTATGGCCTCTGCTAAGTTGTAGTGTCACATCTGACTTTTTCTACTAAAAAAGGTAAACAGTCAGAGAAAAGTGAGTTTTAATGGACAAACAACACAGTGGAAATACGTTGTATAAGGAGGACTACTACAAAAGAAAGTGAAATAAAACATATTTGCAGCCAGTGTTATAAGCTGAACAAATTAAAAATACACACATTCACACATGTTTACAGTATCAACACTCCTGTGTACACATCCTGACACACACATTAGCACACACACAGGAACCCGAGTAATTAGTCTAGAATAAAACAACAATACACCACATTCAGGTCTCACGCCTGGAGCGCCATGAGGCCAGCTGAGGGTTTGGTGAATCTATGTGTGCCAAATTTCCAAGGCTTTTACAGCAGGATTTATTTCACTCCTCTGCAGTTTAGACTGAATTTAAGGGCTGCAGCTACCAGGAAAAGGAGGAGGTTAGTGCATTGTTTATCACTAAAATAAGTCAGAGGCATGGCAACGGAGAGGGTAGCCAACGTGATCCGCATTCAAAGAAACCTGAAGCACAACTTCATCTTGACTTTGCAGTTATAAAAGAGCAATATTCTGACAGTTTGTTCCATATTTAATACAACATTTTTTGTTTGTTTTAGAGTTATCAAATGTGACTGTGGTTTTTTGAGTGGTGGTTTGACCGGCTCGCACCTGGTTTCTTTTCCTGGTGTGGCAATTTCTTGTACAGTAACTGCCAAAGTGTTTCACTGTTAATTTCAGAACATGAAATGATTCATAAAGTCTTAGTGTTGAAATGATTGAAAATGAACAACACAGGAAACATCTGCAGGGTGCTCAATATGAATTATTTCCGCTGACTTGAGCAATTCACCTTGTACATATTTTTTAAATCATTTCGCAACAATCATTGAGATACAAGTCAATTTAACAGAAGCTGAAATAGAAATAGCCAACTCAAATACTTCACCAGTGATATATTGAGTGCTCACTGCAACACAATACATCGGTCGTCAAGGAGCTCACCTGGTTTAATGGGCTTGTCATGTTATTTAAAATGCAGCAATTAAGCAAGTCATCAACTTGTGTGAAGGTATTTGTTCAGGAAATGACTCACTGTTCTTGTTAGTTGACATGTTTAGATAGAGGCATTGCTTTTCTCCTTCTCAATGGGAGTGATCATGTATACTACAATGAAACAGCTCATCTGCTTGTGTTTGGAGGTAATCACTCAGAAGATGACTCGCTGTTGTCACTGGT